ATTATATAAAATTAAACTCTGTGCGAATTCAAATTATTTCTTATTACAGAGACTAAAAATATTATAAAGTCTACATTTTGCATAATGCAAGTTAATTTTTTAATGTACAAAAAATCCAATTATCAATTTAAAATATTCCTGGCACGTATATAATTATTTTATTTTTGATCTCATAAATTCAGATGATTAAAGAGATTTTAACAGAAATTAAAAATTACTTTCATTCATATGAAAAAATATATCAAATTATTGCATACATCAAGGAGGAGCAAAAAAAAAAATTAAAAGAAGATTTAAATCCGTCGGTAAAGTAAGTAAATTAAGATAAATAATTACAATTTTTGAAGCCATGGCGTAACGTATATATTGTTAGCTTTTTGCTTTTCCAGAATTTCGGAAATCTTGCCAGTCTCGGAAATATAAGATGCTGAAAATTTAAACTTTACGAATTTCGAAGGGGCGATAGTTTGCGAGAGGATAAAGACGGAGAAAAACTTTCTTGTCTTAAAACTGCTAAGACTTCAGACTCTACTTTCAAAGGTGTAGAAGTTTTATATAAACAGACATGCAGACTGACAGACAGGACGGATCAATCAATGGTTTGTTAAGTATCAATTTTCCCTTGAACAAGTTGAAATAATGTTTTAAAAAATTTACTTTAATTTTAATTTTTTAAATCATAAGCAAATATTAGAATTCTGTGTAAAACGTAGTCGCACACCCATCGGCACCCAATTTTATCCATACGTAGAATATAAAAATAATAAAATTTGATTTGCATTTTTAACATAATGAATTTGCTTGAATTTCACCTCATATGAGATCATAACTTCTATAAATTACAATGAGTAAGTTATTTAGAGTATATAATTAATAACCTCTAAAAACCTAATACAGAAAAAACCGTATGATGCAGTGCCTATTTATAAAATTTGCCTCAAATATTTTCTCTAAAGAATAAAATTTTCAAGGGAAATGAATAAAAATTCCAATTCCTTTAATTAGTGAAAATAAAACAAAAAAGAATTTTTATTATAAAAATTTTTCAATGTTATAAAAAAAAAAAAAACTTTCACTTTTCTCATTTTTTTATTATAATTTTTAAATTTTATTCAATCATGGGAGATGCAAAATATCAAACAGGCAAAAAAACCATTTGAGATTTAAATGAGTGCATGTGAGTTTTAAAAAATTAATACAAATAATTATAAATTCCCATCCACTCTCTCTCTCTCTCTCTGTTTATACTACGTGATTTCAATTCAAGTAAAGAAATTTAATTTGATTTCAAGAAAAGGTGAAAAACCTCTTCCTTTTTTGCTTTCCTTTTTTTTTTTGTTTTTATTATGAATATTATGAATTTCATAATATATTCCACATATATCTTTGTATAATAATTACTTACGAGAGTATTGCGGGTATAAAATTTAAAATAAAAATCATTTTTACCTTCTTGACTTATACAATTGCGTTCTAAAGCGTTCATATATACGAGTTCATATATAAAGCATTTGTAATCTTAAAATGTTGAAAAAAAATAAGTAAAATAAACAAATATCTTGAGGAAACTGAAAACAATTGAAAAAAAAAACTTAGAGACTTGTAGAGAATAAGGTATGACGCATATTTTATTCTATATACGGTTTTAGATCTTTTTTTTTTTAAGTTACAATGTTATTTTACATATAAGATTTTCTTACAAATTTTTCTTATTTTTGCTTTATATACCCCTAAGACATGCTAATATATATATATATACGGTATATGTATAAGAAGGAACAATATGAAAATATATACTTGAACCTATAATGGTAGAAAAGGATGAAGTCAAGTTACTGTAATGTATTCTTACTTATATAAATTGAAATTCAGAATTTTAATTTTATGTTTTTTTTTAATATTATTAAAATAAATCTGATTTTTTGTTTTTCTTCTAATTTTCATAAAATAATAGTTATATCTCTATTAGTAGTTAAATATAATCAGATATATTTAAATACGTATGTAATTTTATTTCATTTAATTTTATTTCAATAACAAAATTTAATAATAACCCGCACAAATTTTATTGCAAACAGAACAAATACATTACTTAATACCTAATTCAGAAACATCAACTCTCTTGAGTGATACTAGACAATAATCTCTTAATTTATAAGCAAAATGTAATGTGAATATGAAATGAATTTACTCTCTTCAACACAAATCACAACAGTTAATTAACATTTCATTTAAGCCTATATATAATAATAATGCTCTCTTGAAATGGTCAATATCTTAATTAATATTTTATTCGAAATGCGAATTAGGCTAAGTACACCTTAACAATAATAATATAAATGACTCTTCTTATTTCTACTTTCGTCAAGTGAAGACCTATTTCTAATAAAATAATTAACAATGTGTTTTATTTTAAATATATATATTGGATTCGTCCCATACAACTTTCAACTAACAACTTCTTAACTAACGACATTTTGATATAATATATAAATACAAAACAAATCCTATCAGTCACAGACCAGAGAGCCGCTTATTATGAGTCCGTCGCGTCTGGATTTCTATTTGGATTTTAGTAGACTCTTATCACAAGCATACCTTACTGCGGATATTTTGTGGCCCAATCCGCCGGGAAACAAATCGCAAGGTGAAAAATTTATCTCAATATGTTGAGATTAAGAATACGTTTCCATTCAACTGGAGAGATGAATTTGCAAGTTTATTAATTATGATAATGATTTTACTTGCACAGCAGAAAGAGCATACAGGCTTATATTTAGAAAAGAAAGGCGAAATTTAATTATTACTGCAAATTTGATTTAATACAAACCACAAAATACATATATGTACTTATCAAAATTAAGTCGCTTTGCAGTAAATACTAAAACGTCAATTCAAACAGCAATTATATTGTAGATTATAAAGGAGCAAAAGACTTGTCTAACGCCAGAGAAATTATATTTTTTTAACTAGCATGTTATATTAGACAGAATGTAAATTAAATGGGCACATGTAATAAAAATAAAGGCTTAAGAATCACATTTTTATACACAAAAGAAATGTTCTCTTTTTAGTATATAAAATTTTTCTTTTATTTAATAAATTTCGTGTAGCCTAGTAGGATTGTTTTATTTTGTTTAAAATTTCTCATGCAATATAAAATGAATTTTCAGCGAAATGTACATTATACAAAATAAAATATACGCCCACTCTTTTAATTTATAAAATAATGTAAAAAAAATCTATTTATTGTAAAAAAAATTTTTTATTTCATTTTATCATTTCAATCATCAATGTGCATATGTGCATTTCTAACTAAAATTGACGTAAATTAGAAAGGTCCTTTTGAGAAATTTCACAAAAAAACCTATTTTCATACATTATAAATTTTTTTATTCTCTATATTGTGTAAACATCACCTCTTCAATTACATGGTACAATTGTTCTCTATTAAATTCATGATTTTCAGACTTATAACTTTGTTGATGCTACTTTTATAAACATTCATTTTGTTTTTTACATGCACACTATATACGTATATATGAAAAACTACGGTGACACCACATTTAATAACATGAAACGATGAAAATAGAACATATTATAAAGAATGTACTATTTAAATTCACGCTATATTTACCCAACGTATATGTATGTATAGTTGATGAATTTTATTCTAATATTTTAAACATGTGAAACAGACACATTCACCGTTTATATGAACATTAATATTATATATGCACAAACATAATGTAACAAAGGCGGATTATATGTTAACTAAATATTTTTTTTTTGTTTAATATTTGAATTTTCTCATATATTTTTAAAGTTTTACAAAAGTTTTTATGGTATAGACCTTTGCGAGACAAAAATTCAAGTTATATAATAATTTTATATAATTATAGTGTGTATATTTTGAGAAATATTAATAGAATGTGAGAAAATATTGAAATTTGCAAAACTTTTACGAGATTTATTTGTTAAATTCTTAAGAAAATAAAATCAATCGAATTGTTGAATTAAATGTGAAAAAAATATTAAGTAGCTCACGATATGATTTTAAAATTTGTTAAAATTAAAATTCCAAAACACACCGAAGTAAACAGAGCCCTTACGAGCGTTATTACTATATCACATACCCGATGTTATTTCTGTATCACTTATATTCAAGTTAAATGGCATACACTTTTCTACAGCAAGTGTTTCCACTTAAAAGATATTTGGATACATCCCCATACCATCTGATCACATCGGGCATCTAAATGAATCCCCCCTTCAATTCTTTTTGTCATTTAGCTTAGTTGAAATTTTTCCCAAAGCTACCTCCTATCTCTTAACCATATCATCCTACGGCAGGCACAATAGTGAAATTTTCCTGGAGAGATTTTCTAACCTCTGCAGCATCTGTATGTTCCCTTTTGTTATTTAGAGTGTGTTTCTTTCTCACTACAATCATAATATATACACACCTTAGGATAAAGGGGCCTCTTCTTGGTTTTTCCAGCAAACCCCCTGTCAAACGGTAATTTATTGCACTCCAATTGTCCTGGTTTTTTTTTATGATGCAACACAGAACCCTCTTCGAACTTTCACCTGGCAATATTTCCAATGACAATCGTAAGGTGAAGCCCGTCGGCAGCCAAACCAACCATCAAGAACAATATTTTACAATTTATATAAAGCGGTATCCGTTGATTCATGCACTTAGTATGCATGTTGGTAACTGGTGAACGGTATCACCTAATTCTTCGTTTTTAGAAGAAATAAAATAAGGCTTATTTGCCCACCTACCTTGGAATAATCACAATTTCAACAATGTTTATCTTATTCTATTCTATTTAATAGATTTCTTTTTAATGTTTCCGATCGAACAAACTTTTTAAAGAAGTTAAATCCCAGGAAGTCAAATTATATAAATGTATACTACTTATTTGTTTGTTTTTTAAACCTGCTAAACCTGGTAACCCTATTGTAAAATTAAAATTCAAATTTTTCAAATAACTATGTCTCTAACTTGTAAGTAAACATTGTAGATATACATACAGACAAGTCGATGATGATGACTTGAATGATATTATGATTACGTTTTTTATTACAGCCCTTATATGCACATATCATATGTATATGTATGCATTTTATGGTTGAAATAATAAACTAAAGGAAACAAAAAACCCAAACGAAAAAGTAGCAGACAACTTTTTAATTTTATACATTTTTTATTAGGTACATAAAGTATAAGCACATAACGTTTATATTATGTGAAATCCAGAATGGTTATGTAAGACTTGTAATAAGATTATAGCATACAAATGACATTATAAATGTTTCAGAAACTCTAAACATAACCTATAACTACACTATTATATTTTATTATTTCGTACATATGAATAACTATGTAACAATATAATCTTTTATATATCCCTGTCATTTCAAATTCATTCGCCATCTATTATCAAATTTTTATTTCTCTTCAGCTCTGCTCAAATATTTTCGGTAATTCTCATTTATTTTTGGAAAAATTTCACTTCATTATAAAAGAATCTCAGAACATTGTAAAATGAAACTATTTTAATTTATTTTTAATGTTACAAATTATAATATGATGACATTTATAATGGTGGGTAGAAATGACCTGTTTATTAGATTTAAAAAAAATCACTTTGAAATTTTCTTTCTAATGATAATAAGAAGACTGTGAATAATTTTCCATTCAAAATAAAAACACAATTTGAATAAAACTTTTTGGTTTTTTATCGGATTTGGATTTAATTTTAAAAAGCAACAAAATGATGTGCAACACCAATGCTACTACAAAAAATAGAAAAGAATGAAATTAATATTGAAATTAAAATCATTGAATAGATAGAGAGGAAGAGAGAAATGTCAGGATTTTATATTGGGGCAAATTTCAAACCCCATGAAATATGTAATATTTTTCATTAAATTAGAAAAAGTATTGATTCAGTATTAATGGCAGGTCAGCACTTATTCTATTGCGTTATGAAAGTATTTATCCATCCGTTTTATTTAACAGTAATAAAATTTCACGAAATAACCAGCACATTTTTGCTAAATTTCGACGTTGGATATGAAGCATAAATTAGCAGTAGAGCAAAATTTAGCATATTGAAAAAATTTTAATTACATTGTAAAAAACTTGCAGGATAGTTGATAGTTATATGGTGAGTTTACTCTTCACTTCACTTCTATTTGGTATTTAAAAAATTTTATTGAAAAGTATTGAATTCAACTCCTATCACACGTAATTCACCTCCTAACTCACACCATTAATTCTCACACAATTCTAATTTGCCTCACAAGAGAATCACTATGATACAAAACTCTTAAATTTTTTTAAAAAAAAATTTAAATTTTACATATTCAGATTTGAAAATTCAAATTAAAATTTTAAATTAAAACCCAATATTAATATTTATTAAAATTGTATACGTGTGCCTATATACAATTTTATCAAATATATACAAATATAAATATATTTGTATATATTCATATGTTTATTTATTTATATTCCATTATACGCACATTATTAATAAATTGACCTAAGGGAAACCGAACCTTTATTATGAATCAATTAATTTTAATCCTCGAAGACTAAATATTATATGAGATATGTACTTATAATATATAATCCGCGTTCATATATGCGTCATATACCTTATACGTACATTAACAAATAAACTTATTCACTTTTATTAATTGTATATATACCTATATAAATACGAAATAGCGTATATAGGCGTGTATAATTATAACCTGCAGAATAACCCCATTTTATAATAAATTTTGTTCTTGCATAAATATTTGCGGTCTATATGTACACCCAGCGCAGAAAAAACCCTCGCACTTCATTTTTTTTCGAAATTCTGTATTTAATTAATTTTCATACTAAAGTGGTCTCACTCAATTAAATATTGAGTTTTGTTTTTTATTTTGGTGTCTTCCCTTAATGTAAGGAACAGTTACTTTTTTGTTTATCGTTTAAAGTTATGTGGTTTTTAATAAGAAGTTCAAGTTTCATACAAAAAATAAGTTAAAAATATGGTGTTATCTCTTGAATAAAAAGCTAAAATATTAGCGCTACATGAGAATGGTGTATCAAATAGACAAATTGCGATAATATTAGGGACAAACGAATGGAGTATGAGAAATTTTTTAAAAAATTATATTATTTCTGGCTCTTTGGAGCGAAAAACTGGAAGTGGAAGGCCGAAGCTTCTTAATGAAAGGGATGAAAGACTTTTGAAACGAATTTCACTTCGAAATCGATTTTCAAATGCGGGCCAAGTTAGAAAGATATTTCAAAAGCAAACTGGAAAGCGAATTTCAATACGAACAATGCAAATTGAGTTGAATAAGTTAGGAATGGAAGCCCGAAAGCCAGCTAAAAAGCCCCTTTTGTCGAAGAAAATGAAGTCGCAGCGTTTGAAATGGGCAAATACTTGTAAAAACTGGACTGTGGAAGACTGTTGAAAAGTGATTTTTTCTGACGAGTCTAAATTCTACTTGATTGGACCTGATGGATCGCTCACAGTTCGGCGTAGAACAGGAGAACGTTATTCACAAAATTGCGTTTTGCCAACAATGAAGTTTTCACCCTATATAATGGTTTTTGGGGCCATTACAAGGTATGGTGTTGGAAGGCTAATTCTTCTGGAAGGTGTAGGAAATGCTCAGGAGTACATAAAAATTATCAACGAAGGTGTAGTTCCAACAATTGAGCAACTTTCTGAATATACTCAAAATGTAATTTTTCAAGATGATTCTGCGCCATGCCATAGAGCTAAAACGGTGAGAATTTCTCTTGTGATTTCAAAATTTTTGTATTTTAAATTAATTTTACGGTTTTTTTTTTTTTTTTAGGTTCGAAACTGCAAGACTGATTTAGGGATTTCGTCACTTCCTTGGCCTGGAAACAGTCCAGACCTCAATCCCATTGAGAATTGCTGGAGTATGATGGGTAAAAAAAACCGGGCTGAACGGCCACAATCTCTAGTGGAGATGAAAAACATCATCGAGAAGGTTTGGTATGAGGAAATAAACGTCGAATACCTTGAAAGTTTGTATTTTTCAATGGCTCGTAGGGTTGAAGCTGTCGTTAAAGCAAGAGGTTTTTCAACCAAGTACTAAATGTTAATTACCATGGTTATACCTTCTATTATTAATATTTTTGCTTTTATTAATCTACTGGTTACTTGCAATTTCAATAATAATGTGTAATTTTTTAGTTAAACTTAAGATATTGTGAATGAATGAATTTTAAGACCTTGATTTTTAAGTTTAAATTTTGATGTTTTTCTATATTATGACCATTGGGTTTAAAAATTTTAAATTCCTGGATATGCATTTATTTTTTTCGTATTAAATTTTATTTAAAATTGTTAAAAATATAGTATCTTGAAAAAATTTGAACCAAATTTTTGTGTTTATTTGATTTAAATACCCTATTTTAAAAGAATTTATTAAAAGAGTACCGTGCGAGGGTTTTTTCTGCGCTGGGTGTATATGTATATATAAATATGATAAATTAAATTCATCTTTATTTTAACGTATGTCATAATAATCAAAAAATTTATATATGTATGAATATTTATATATCTATATGCAATTATAATATAAAAGAATCAATGAAAAGAGATTATTCTTTATTAAAGGAGAAATTTGAATACAACAAAGCCACCACAATACAACGGTAATAATAGAAATAGCGGAAATTTATACCTACGTCTAAATCGGAAGGGCAATATTCTAGAATGCATATAGAAGATTCCGCAATTTATTTCATAAAATTATTTCATAAATAAGATAAACAATCAATAATACTATAAATTTCAAAAACTTACACAGAAATTTTGAATTCACTTATAATTTTAACCTTTTTGCCTTCAACTCCTAAGCTAGAGAAATGAAATTCAGCTGTTTGATTATTCGCTTTACTATTTTGGGGAACATAGGGCTTAAACAAAACCTATCTATCGAACTCTTTTTTACGTCAATATTTTTATTTTTGCCATGTTTTTCCAGTTTATGCAAATTTCTTTTGCGGCTTACTTTCTCCATGTTAACCGTGACCTTCCCATACCCCTTTTTGTCCTGCGGACTCTTTTCTATCGCGTATCGCGCTATTACGGACTGCGCAATTCTTTTGATTGGTGAATTCTACTGGTTCCTGACCCGTAAATCTCCCATTAGTTCTGTACATATTTTGACCATATTTTAATATTAAATAGAAATTGGCAAAATTTATATGTGCTTATTTTAGAAATCATTGAATATGACTCGAGTTTTTTAATCAAATATTTTGAATTAATTTTATTATTCTATAATAAAAAGTGGAGTGCTTTGGTTTTTTATCAATAAACAAAAAAATGAAAATATTTTTTAACACTATTTAATTAAATAAATCGAAAAATTTTAATTTGCAAATTAAATAATTTTAATTTCAATTTCACAAAATTTTCAAGTAATATTTTTATATACATATGTATATGTACTTAATTATGAATGCAAAATATATACATAATTCAATAAAATAATAATTTTCGAATATTATTTTACTGTTGTACTAGATTAAGATACAAAATGTGAACCATAAATAATAATAAAAGGGCTGATTAAAGGTATAGAGCTGAGTGGAAATCTTGAATAATCGACAGTCGGTTACGAGTTATTTGAGAGTGATACTCGTAAGACTTTCAAATTTTTATCTACATTTTATATAGCCTTCACTTTTAAGTGCGCCACATTTCTATCTTTATGGTGATATCAAAGCGGTAAACTTTTTTATAAATGCAGCGATGCATACCAGACTCGTTTGTATATAAGATTCTTTCTCGCATATTTAAAATTATTAAGATTCTCATTAAAAATATTTAACATTTTATGTTAAAAAAAAAAAATAATTAATAAGTTGAAAATAAAAATTTTATATTGAAATTTCAACAATTTAAATTTGATACAAGATAACGTACACGCTCATACAACTTATTCATTACACTCAAACGCCGCGATATGAAAATTCATTAAAAAGAAAAATTTGCAACACTTACAAATAAACAGAACATAATGGCGCCCCGTCTGTAACCTACGCTTTAAGCATATTCACATATGTTAGTATATTTAAATATTAAAATATTTCTTTTGATCTTAAAGATTTTCAAAAAAAAAAATATAATGCAATGCCTTATACTTCACATTTCTTGAACATTTTTAATAAAAAACAAGTCCACACACACATTTTTTATACAATTAGCATTGATATTTTTACACGTTATCATCTACAGTATACATACTTGTATAAATGTAAATGTCTGGGTAAATCTTATATCCTTTGAAAAGAAAAAATATTTTTGAAGTCCCAATATAATTACAATGACTTTAAAGGTTTTTATAATTTTTTTTAAATTCGAGCAAATAATTTTGAAAAAAATAATTTCAGCATGTGTAATTCGTCTTGTGATTATGGTTTACATTTACACTTTCTGGTGATTATGGTGTGATTCGTCTGCTGTTGTGTTTACACTTAAAAAATACTAAAACTCTTATATTCTTTGTGATATTGTTTCGAAAATTTTTAAAGAATTATGGCATTCATACTCAAATTCAAAAATAGTACTTAAAACAAAAATTTTAAAACTATCAACTATCAGAAGACAATTGCAAAGTCAAAAAACTAAAAATGTTGCTGCATTTAAAAAAAATTACTCTTTTTTAACCCTCAGATTAAAAATATAATATATTATCTGCATATTAGCCTAACAAAACCTTTTTTGGAGTTCATTAAATTCGTTTTGTTTATTGGTTTATCAATTTTACTCTCAAATAGACTCAGTTCTCAACAGATTTCCCTCGACCCTTTAAAGGGTACATCAATTGCGTTAAAAACACATAATTACCCTCCAAATTTTAATTGTGCTACTAAACCAAAGGATCATTTTCGAATTTTAAGTATGGCTAATTCGTTGTGCATTAAATTTATTAATTTTCTCAATTATTAGATTACTTTGAATTTTTAATGCAAATACCATATTAAGTCCACTAATAACTTTAATATGTCTGGAAAGCAAAACACATAAAAAAAAAACATTCAGAATTAAATTACGTCTGTCTAGAACGCAAAATATTTAAAAACTTTAATTTATATTAAAATAATGTGTGACAGTATATGTAATTGCATTGTTTTTTATATGTGAAATTAATATTATAAAAACTCTCACTCTAAATTAACGTGCATGATTTCAATTCCATTTTTTTGAAAATCATCACTTTTTAAGTGTTATTTTCGATCAAAATAAATTTTATAAAAAAATAAATGTCAGGCTCATTTATTAGTCTGTCTATACATATAATATGTACGTACATATATAGGCATAATATGTAAAAAATAACGTATGTATAAATTTATATTTTTCCCAAATTTTACTCAATCATCTGAATTTGCTAAATTTTACTCGCAATATATTAGCTATTATAATATATAATCACGTAGAAGAATTCAAATATAATATGTATATATGCAAGTAAAACAGATTTCAACTTATTCATAGACGCAAAATAAATCTTTTTTAAATTTAATTTTAAATCCTTTCTATATCTAGAAAAAATCTCACATTACTAAATTACCCCAAATTCTGTATATGAAAACATTCAATGAATGAAAACAAGAACCGGAAATTTTCTCAAACTGCATAAAATGTATTCAAAGTAATGAGAGGTACAGATTTATAAACAGAATTCATTCTGAATTTCTCTTTAACAATTTTACTTGTTTTACTTGCATTGCAACTAGCTAGAGAAATTTTCTCAAATAATTTTCTTTAAAACATAACTGTTACGCACTTTTCATTTCCCATCATAATATTTCTCACAGTATTATTTAACTTTCTCTGTTTACATTTTTATCAGTCAATCTTCTAATATAGTATAATAATACTTATTTGGCAAAATATGCTGCCGGTATGCAGATGTTTTTTTTTTGTTATTATATTAGAAAATTTCTCATACAGTATTAAACAGAGAAAACAGAGAGAATAAAATTATAAATTGAAACTGAAAAATAACAGTGTAAATGTAAATGACAAAAAATACATAATAGTACTCAAAACGTTTTCTCTTAATAAATTGAGAAATTTTTCAGCATGTTATACAAATTACATAAATGTTAAAATATAGTAAATACTCGTAAAGTGAAAGAGTCTTTCATATTTGAAATTACTTTTATTATTGTTAAATAAATTCGATTACAATTATTGTAGATCGTATACTAATAAAAATATAAGAATTGAATTTTTAATAAATAATTCAAAAATTGAGTCATTAATTAGTATTATTAATAAAAATATATATATATATATATATGAAGGTACTTTTGGCTATAGTAGCAGTGAAATTGAATAAGAAACAATTTGTTTATTTTATTCTTTATTCTTTGATAACTTTAATAAAACTTACTTAATTATCATAGTCAATTGTATATTGTACAATATACTTATAGTATATTAAAACATTTTAAGGGAAACGATTCTTTAAAGTGTTAAATAAGGTGTTGTGCTTTTAAATAACAAAATACATAACTCCTTCTCTTATCATACCGAATGTACCACTCTATTGTATGTAATTATTTTATTCAATATCTTACTTGTTAATATAAGAGTGTTAATGTTAAACAGCAACAAAATGTGAATGCGAAATTTCACCACAATAAATTAAAAAAATTACAGTAGATTATAACAAAAAAATTTATTTACGGCAAAATTGTAAGTAACAACAAAATGAAAAACGAAATTATTTAGGAAATTAAAAATAAATTTGTAACTTGTTGAAAAACAAGACACGAAACAATATATTTTAAACAATATATTTAAATATATTATATGTTTTATTATTATTTTATTATATGCCTATATATAGACACAATAATTAACAATAATAATAATAATCTAAAAATAAAAATATACGGTCAAGTATGAGAAAACAATCATACATAAAAAGTTAATCTGTTAATAAAATTAAATCTCTTGATATTTCAATATTTTTACTCTATATTCTCAATACATACATACCATACCCATTCAGCTTTATACAATTTGTATAATACGTATACATGTATGATTACATTTAAAATCTATTTGCTTAATACAATGTATAATAAAATAACAACATATATTTAAAATCAACAAAATCCAACACTAATTAATATTGGAGTAAATATTGCTCGAACAAAATATTTGCAAGAGAATTTTCTGTTATACGAGTACGTGTACAATATACATGTATGAATAACATTAAATTTTACAGAATAATAAAATACAAAATAAGAACAAAATAAATTTCAGATGTTTGAGAACAAAAGAAAAAAAAAATAAATATTTCTAAATAAGAAAAGCATTTCAGTTATTAAAAAACTTTCATCTTGTTAAGATGTTCAAGTTATAGTTTGAGTAGAGTAAAAAAAAGAAAAAAATTATTAAAATAAAAATATAGAATCTTGTGGAAATTTTGAATTAATGGAATGGAAATTTACTGTTATTACAACATTTTTTTTCTATACCGTTTTATTCAAAATAGAGAATTGAAATTTCGAAAAAGATTTTGGAAATATTAAAAAATTGTTAAAAAAAAAATTTTGTTTTGGAAAATATTTTACGCTTAGTGCAAAATTGTATACAAGTGCTGTTTTCTGTTATTTTGAATGTTAATTTTAATCCCTTGAATGGGAAGTAAATAATTTTTATTTAATTAAACAAAATTATTGTAAAAGTACGAATTAGAATTGTAATACTTAAAATTTAATGTTTGAATGAATATGCAATAAAAAATTAATTATAGTCTTCATTTCAGTGAATAATTACAATTTAATTTTAAAGAAAAAAATTGGAATTCAAATTTTCATAAGCACTTTGTTTTATATTTAATTTAGTTTTCAGTTCCTTGCTGACCAGAACAATTTTTATCTCATTTATAATATTTTACATGAAAAAAAACCAACAATATCTACCTATAAATAAAATTAAATAATCAATATTAAAGTCCTTTTTTAAGAAAACAAAAAATTCATTTTATTTTAAGAAAAAGCAGCAAACAAATAATAATAAGAAAAAAATAAACAAACAAAAAAAAAATTTATTATTCATCCATAATTTTTGGGTTCCGATTTTGTTATATTTCTTTTTTGGGTTGTATTTTGTTCACAATAAAAGGAAAACAAAAAAAAAGTCATATTTTACCTATATACCGTTATATTTATTACATTGATTTTATATTTTACGTGCAATAAAATAAAATTTTATTAAACAAAATTTTTAACAATAAGATTTTTGTGAATAACCAAAAATTTACAACAGTAAAATTTGTCGTTAGTACAGCTAGTACATTTCTCTTGAACCAAAAAGGAGAAAATTTTCCAAAATATGCAACAGTGTTTTAACATATTATAAAAGTTAGTGTTATAAAAAATTATTGTTCTCTCTATACTATCATAAATCCGAATTAAAATTGAGAGTAAATTATTAAGAAAAAATAATAAGAGAAAGAAAAATTAAAATAAAATAAAACAGAAAAAAAAAAAATAAAGAGAAAAATATTATCAATTATCTGAAATTATAATAAAAGTAAAAAATAAAAAAAAAATAAAAAATCACAATACACATGTTTTGTTGTTCTTATTAATATGGTCAAAAGGGATATACCGGTTATACAAAAAGGATATATAGTGTAATACAATATAAAAAATTACAATAAAATAAAAAATTAATAAATAAATATACAAAATTTATCGAGAAAAAAAAAAGGATATATTTTTCAAGGCACATGCATATATACAAACATATATGCAATTAATAAAAGAGAAAAGAAAAAACTCAAAGTAATTTATAAGAGGAAAAGGTTTGTTTTATTATGGAAAAAAAAAAATTCAATTGAAGAAAATATTTTTGTACATTCAAACACACACACACACACTACTTTATGAGAAAGAATATTAAAAGAATATTTTAAAATTAAAATTTTATATATTTCTTTTTCTTTTTTTAAATATTTTTTATCCTTTACTTTTTCTTCTTCTGCTTTTTGCATTTCACCTCAGTGATTCAGTAAAATTATTTCTTTTTTCTTGTTTTATTTTTGCTCTTGCATTGAATAACAACATTGAATCTGAATTATTAAAAGAACAAAAATAAAATGTAGAAAAAAAAAAATCAAGTGTATCCCTTAAGGATATGCGAAATTTTCAAAAAGCAAAATAAAAAATAAAGTAAAATTAAAAAAGAATATTAAAACAGAATGGTTTCTTGTGTATTATAAAAAAAAAAACGCAACAAAAAAAAAAAGAGAGAAGAGAAAATTATGAATTTATTTTTTTAATCCTTCAATTTTTAACAAGCCTTAAAAAAAAAAAGGATATTCTGTCCAAAAGTCTTTAATTAAATTACAAAAAAAAAAAAATAAAAACTGCGTATGTCATATTTTATTTACAATTAAATATGATGGAAAATTTTTTGATTAAGCAATTTAAGTTTAAAAAAAAAACAAAAAAATTTGCATGTCTTTAGGGAATATTTAATTTTATTTTTAAAAAAATTAATATTTATTTATAATACGTGTGTGATTAATTGCTGATATTTTATGTGATATTTTCCCTTGTATATGTTAAATAAGATGCGTTAATTTTTTGCTTTCAATACACAATAATTAAAAATGTATGAGTTTAACTATAAAGGTTGGTATATATTTTTTTGACAAATAAAAGAATTTAAAATCTCGTGCCCTAGAGATGTTTAGGGTTTGTCTTAGTTTGTTTTTATTTTAAATTTAAAATAATGCTTAATGTGTTACACTAAGGCCTGGACTCAATGGGGTTATGCATATGTTGAGAATTTCTAATGACTCTTTTTAGAGGGAAATCAACTCAATTGTTAATTCAACTTTTTTTTTTAATCAAATATTAAAGATTTTCAGGAAAGAGTTAGAAAATTATTAAGCAATTAATTTATTTTTTGCTCTTTTGCATCTAATATCGACAAAGTTTCGGCAAATTGCCGAACGTAGCGTCAAATTTTGAATCGATTTTGGTGGCAATCTTCGATATTTAAGATTTTGGGAACATGTATTGGAAATATGCGTAATATTTTTAGTTTGTACATAGTGATAATTTAAAAATTTTAGATTTCTTGTCATATTCAATGAAGAAAAGGGAATATTGTTAATTTACTGCTTAAAACTAGCAGTATTAACGCTTGGTGAAAGTACAATATTGTATGACTTAAAAAAAATTATTTAATCGAGGCCTTCTACTGTAGTTGTCATGATCTTGGTAATTTAAGTTGCTTATTTTGAATTGAGACTAAATTGGGACTAATTAACAATAATCCTTGCATACAGTCCTTTCAATTTTCAATTTCCTAATAATAAGATTTATTTTTCACTTTAATTATATAGAAATTGTATACTTCACTCACACTATATCGACAATCATTTAAAATAATTTCTATGCTATTCTATAATCTTATTGAAAGTTCATTACTGTACTTCAAAAATTTCACTAAATATCCAAAGTGTTACCCAATTTTTTCTAAAGATTTCTCCATATATTTTTTTTCTAAAGCAAATGTGTACATACACAGTTCATATAGAAAAATTTATTTATTAAAGTTTATTTTTTCAGTACAACAGAATTTGTTTTCACTTTAAAAACTTACAAAATAGCACACAAAACTTTACATTTAAAGTTTAATGAATTTTGCTCTTCATTTCTTATAAAAATTTTTATCTTAACAAATAAACGTATCTAATATTTAATTATTCTGAAGTAAATAAAAATTACGCTTTATTTAATTTTATTTATAAAAACGAAAAAAAAAAATAAAGTTTTTCGAATTCTTCGAACATGTGAAACAAACAAATTGCATATTTTTTTTTTCTCTACTTGAAAATTAGTTTAAAAATTAAGCTATCCAAATATCAAATTTTCAAAATTTTACCCCATTTGAATTCTAGAAATAAATTTTTTAAGTAATTTTTTACCATTAATAGCTAAACTGGTCTCAATTGAATATCGGTGATCTTTATAATTTTATATTTCAATATAGTTTACTTTTTCACAACTAGGGCACGGCGAACGTGTCTAAAAAGAGACGTCATTTTTGTTTAACATATTTAATTGTATTCCTTTTTGCTATTTAATTTCCGTTTGTTCCACTGTTTTAGAAATCAATAACTACAGCGGATTTAACAATTTAAAAAAAAAACTTTGCAATCCATCATTTTTGATTATACAGTCTTAGCCTTAATTAACCAGAGAAAAAGGGTAACTTGACTATCTTCGAAAATATTAGAGCAGCGTTCGGGGCTCTTGGATCCTACTCAATTAGTTCAGTTTTAATGGCATGATGCAGAAGAGACACACTGTATGCACTTTGCCATGTGTGCAGAATAACCGTTTGCTGTGCTTCCGGACAACAACTAACCGTCACACCAAAGCTACAGGATCCGAAGGAAAAACCACGTACTACCCGCACAAAAATTCTAAACTAATTTAGTTTTTAATACAAAAGAATCGATAATATATGGTAACCCGTATTTTATTTATTCCTCTTAATTTCATTTATAACTCAACTCAAAAAAGACAACTAAAAACAAAAACAATGAAAATATAAACAATTCTTGTAAATATTCTGTTAAAACTTTAAAGTATTCATTCCGAATAAATCTCAATAGTAAAAGTTTGGTTTTAATTTTATTTTTTTGTTTGCTTTTATTTATATTTGGTATTTTCAAAAGAAATATTCTCAATTTTCACACAAATATATATACTAATATGCGAATGCGGATTGAATTTTATGCATTTCACACACACTGACACACAAACATATTTGACTGTCATATGACATACACTCTTCTACAAATGAACATTGAGTGTAGCTGGAATTTTTTTAAATTACTATGTGACTATAGAGGAAGGACAAAAAAAAAAGCAGAGCAAAAAATAAAACTGCAACCGATAATAACAACAATAATAAAAATAATAAAATAAAAAAAAATAAATACAAAATAAATAAAAACAAGATTTCATCCTTTATTTTTTTTATTTTATTTCATTTCTGTTTTTTGTTGTTGTTTTTTTTTGGCATCAGCACCAAAGTAGTTTTGTCTTAATTTATATTCTTCTCACAAATATATTTTTTTTTCATTTTCAATATTTTAATGCATTTTCTTCCGAGTTGTACTATGTGTAAGTACAAGTATCTATACATAGTTAATAAATTCAACTGTATATTAGTTAGAAAAGGAGTGCTTAAAAGTACTATAACTCAATAATGCCAGTTCAATAATAAGAAATACGTAAAATAAATATAAAATAAAAAAATATAAAAAATTGAAAGCTCCTACAAATATTTTAAGGATCAAATTCTTATTTAAAACATAAACACATTTTATATCATGTTTGTATTACTCTCGTAATAGTAACCATGATAAACAACATACTTTTAGGAGGTTTAGGTAAATTTTCTTTAAATTTATTGTTAACAATTTATTTAAATACTTTAAGCAACTGAACACAGAATACTATTAGAATTGTTTAATAAAAAAAATTTAAACAATCTTTATTTTGATTATTGAATTATTAAGCAAGTAGAAACTGGTTTTCCTCCACAGGTTATGCAATTTTATAGTGTATTATAAATGAAATGTAACTGGCGCTCTCATTTTTACATTATACATACATTATAAGTATCTTTCAATAGGGGCAAATAGAATATTGAAAACCATAATACGCTATTCCATATGATAGTTTCCATATGAATTATTATTGATTTTTTTTTGTTCTCCTGACGGTATGCAATTTTTTAATATATTCCACCATAGTCAGTAAGTGGGACTAGCGAGTGATGGTGTCAAATATATGAGGTGTGCAATGACATGCCATGTTTATATATATTTGATATATAAATAAGCACATACATCTGACTATTTAAAATTTTTTTTCTAGCTGATAGGAGTAAATTAAATATTGTTTATTTTTCATTCACAAGGAGATAATAACTTGACACTTAGTACTATAAAAAGCCATGAGAAAATTTTAAAAATAATTTATTTAAAAAAGAATGCAAAAAATACTCAAATAACACTATGCATATTTTGCAATTAAGTGTAGTAATGCAATAAATTAAATTGTTAAAAATAGACCAATAAATAATTTTCTTTTATGTGTAATTAAATTGATGAAATAATTGGAATCCATATATGCAGTCTTATATTTCAAAAACTTACAATACAAATTCAATTAATTAAACTCAATATACTTGAAAAGTTCTTTTATATATACCATATATTACATATAATGTTGCTGTTAATTCTGATACTTAAATTACATTTTATTATTCTTACATACATCCTTTTTATTTTCAATTACATTTATTTTTGAAATGATATTATAATTTAAAAGAAATTTTATATTTTTATACATTTTCCAGGTTAATGACTGATTTAATTTAATACTTTAATGTAATATCTGTTAATAATTAAACACATGCATATGTACATATGTTATATGTATATACTTTTGTACACACAAATATAACGGATGATTTTTGTCTTCTTTGATTTTTCATACTTTTATTTTCGACAATATGTGCGTGATTGTCAGCATCAAATCGACTAAGTTTGCAGGTTTTATATATATTTCTATGAAATGCGACTGGCGCCCGAACACTACTCTTATAATTTTAATTAATTACATTTAAATAATATAATAATTGAATTTTCGAAGATCAATTAATGTCATGTTTTTGATTTGTCAATTGAATTCAAAATTGAATCCGTCGATAGATTGCCAATATCAAAATAAATTTTTTCTTGTAATGGTAACGTTAGATATATGTACCTAT